CAGGCTCCCCAAACTTATTTTAAGTTTATTTATTTTTGAGAGAGAGAGAGAGAGAGAGAGAGAGAGAGAGGATAAGCAGGGGAAGAACAGAGAGAGGGAGACTGAGGATATGATGTAGGCTCCATGCTGCCAGCATACAGCCCGATGCAGGGCTCAAACTCACAAACCATGAGATCATGACCTAAGCCAAAGTCGGATGCTTAACCGACTGAGTCACCCCGGCACCACAAAAAACTTTTCAATAATAAGCACATCATATATACCCAATCTCAAAAGGCATGTTAGTTAAGGAAAGTCAACATTTGCTTATATTCTACATTCTTTCAGCAATGACTATGCTTTTATTTTTTATTTTTTTATTTTTTATTTTTTTAATTTTTTTTTTCAATGTTTATTTATTTTTGGGACAGAGAGAGACAGAGCATGAACGGGGGAGGGGCAGAGAGAGAGGGAGACACAGAATCGGAAACAGGCTCCAGGCTCTGAGCCATCAGCCCAGAGCCCGACGCGGGGCTCGAACTCACGGACCGCGAGATCGTGACCTGGCTGAAGTCGGACGCCTAACCGACTGCGCCACCCAGGCGCCCCAATGACTATGCTTTTATAAAACTCCGAGTTACTGAAAGGCCTTTACAGTAACGTATGACATTTTCCTCAACATTCCAATTAAAATTAGTGAAATCATGCTACTATTTAAAAAATGATACTTATTTCCTTTTACCCAAAGAGTTATTACCACATGCACATCTGCACCATAAATGTTATAGCTAAAAAATGAGATCTAGAAGTAAACTCTTTCATGGAAAGCCAATCGTAAGGACTCATTAAGATCATACAATACTACTTAAAATTTCCACGAAAAGGGGCCCTTTATGTTCAACTAGTTTAATTTTATGTTGAGCATTTCCTGGGCCTAACTATTACAATTTCAAATTTCCTAGGAATATACATCTATAGAAACTACTATTGACTAAATATTAAAGGCTGTAACCAGACACGAAGGAGAAAATCTTAAATTCCAAAAAAAAGACTCAATGTCAGACTCGAACCTTGTGACCTGTTGCCATAACATGGGGCTCGAAAGTCTTCATAAAGGTATATAGTTTATAGTCATGCTATTTGCCTCCTATGGTGGTATCCAAGAAATTCAGCAACCAGTTCAATACCTCTGTTTTCTGAACTATTTTCAGATCCTTCTCATTTTCTAATTTAGAACTCTTCTCTTGGGTGATCTTACGTTAGAAAGATTTTATTCTTAGGGAAAGAAGGCGGGTATATCTTACCTTGAAAGATAACAAATATGTGGTGGTAAGTCTAAATTACAGAAGCAAGACAAAAAGCGTGCAATTTAAAACTGTCATGCCTCAAAACGTACTTAGCAATTAATTCAGTGAAAATTCTATGATGTCAGACATCATTAACTCATGTTCTATAAAGAGCTCACGTGTTACGAACTAACCATAACACAGTTTCAAAGTTATGTCTAACTTCGTTACTTGGATGCAATGGTTGTCCAGTGGGGGGAAGATCCAGTAGATCTCATGTTCTATCACTAACCAAAGTAAATGCAATTTTGATATGAGGAAGCAAAAAACATATTTCAGGTGCGCCTGGGTGGCTCAGTCGGTTGAGTGTCCGCCTTCGGCTCAGGTC